GTCCTCAATGGAGTTGAGGACGATACCTTACAAAATCTCTCTGTATTCCTGTCCTGTGGAAAAATCTGTGGACTATTTCAGAATACCAAACCAGAGAGTTCTTTCTTTTACTGAAATTTGGTTAATGCGATCATATATTGTAGTACAGCCTTTAAAATCAAATTCTGGGGTCTCCCTGGTGGCACAGCAGTTGATCACTGGGCTGCGAAGCTGCCTACAGCCTTTGCAGTGCTGGTTTGATCCCTGGCCACTGGGTGAGTGTCCCACATGGCGGGCAGACCTCTCCTGCTGTGCCCGTTGCTCCCCTCAGCAGTGTACTTCGTCAGTCTGCCTGCTCTGCTCTCCGCTCTGACTCTGGTGAATTCTCTCACCCTTATACAAACACTGGGTACAGTCAGAAGCATGGGAGGGTGAGAGAATTCACCAGAGCCAGAGCAGGGAGCAGAACTGGTGGAAGGAATGAAGCACACTGCTGAGGGGAGCAGCGGGTGGCAGGAGAGGTCTGCGCGCCATGCAGGACCCTCCTCCAGTGGCCAGGGAGCAGCCGGGGATCAAACCAGCGCTGAAGAGGCTGCGGGCAGCTTTGCAACCCAGCGCTCAACCGCTGCGCCACCGGGGAGACCCAATAAATAAATCTTTTAAAAAAATCTAATAAAATAAAATAAAATTCTGCATCTGCTGCCTTATGTTTACCACCAGAATTCATTTTCCATTCATCAAAATACAGTAAACCATTTGTTTCCATTTCCCCATCCTTCTTCCCCCTTCCCTTCTGCCATGACTATTGTGTTCTTAGAGTCTACAAGTTCCTTCCCTTTATTTACATCATTCATTTTGTTTCTCTATATGTGTATCATATATGAGAGAAGGCATACATTCTTTGCTTTTCTTCCATCTGACTTTTATCACTGAGCATAATACCTTCTAGGTCCACCCATATAGTTGCAAGTGGAAACTTCATGGATTATTGTAGCTGAGTAGCACCCCATTGTGTATAAACACCACTTCATTACCCCATCACATGTCCACGGGAATTAGGTTTCCAGTGCTAGGCTATAGCAAGTAATGATGTAATGGCTTGAGTGTGCATGTATCTCTCCATTTGTAGTTTTCATATTCTTAGGTAAATTCCCAGAGTTAGGAAAGGGCATTTGTATTCTTATCTTTTGAAGAGTGTCCATATTGATTCTCATAATGGCTGCACCAGCTTACGTTACCACCAGTGGTAATGAGAGTTCCCTTCTCTCCACATCCTCCCTCACATAGTTAGTTGTTTCTTGTCTTTATGATAATAGCCATTCTTATGGTGTGATATGATACCTTATTTTTACCTTGATTTGCATTTTCCTGATAAGACATGTTGAAAATTGTTCTGTGCGTTAGGCTACCATTTCTATGACTTCTTTGGAAAAGTGTCTATTCAGATCCTCTACTCACTTTTAATCAGGCTGCTTATCTTTTTGTTGTTGGAGTTCATGAGTTCTTTATACATATATATTAAATATCAACTCTGATATAGAGAAATATGTTTTCATTTTATGGGTCGCCTTTTCCTTTTAACAATGGTTCTTTCTCTTGCATAGTTAATTTAAGTTTGATGTAGTCTCACTTGTTAGTTTTTGCTTGCTAGTCTTGCTTCTGGAGACATCCACAAAAATATTACTAAGGCTATTAGTTGAGGAGTTGTTACACATGTTTTCTTCTATATATTTTATTATTTCAAGTCTTGCATTTCAGTCCTTTAGTTCATATTGAGCTAATTTTTGTGTATACTGTTAGACACTGTCAGGGGTGGTCTGTTTCATTCTTTTCCATGTGGTTGTCCAGTTCTCTGGGCACCAGTTTTTATTATTACATCTGTGTTGAAGTTTGATTTTAGGTAGTTTATTATTCTTTTATGAGATTCCGTACTGCTAGGATATTTGATCTGGTTAGAAATGTGCTCTCCTTGTACATTTGGTTATTTCATGGGTGCTTTTCTTTTTGCCTGGTAGGTGGAGCTGTGGTTTTAGTTTTAGGTTTCTCTTTCTAGATCAGGGCCAAGTATGGAAGGTTGGAAGTGCAAAGTAGACCTGTTCTGGCTCTTGCTGTCCTTTTATAGTGGGGGAACTGGGCAGACATCACCAATGTGTCCCTTTCCCTGTGATCAGACTGCATCTTTTAGAATGCATTGTCTTCATCATTGCTCCCTTCTTAAGGGCTTCAGGTCTATGGTTGGGCTTCCAATTTCCTTCAAAGCCTAACATCCTTATGGGGGGATGCCAAAGTGGAGGGATTATAGCCCCAATGAGCACTGCATCCTTGTCTAGTTTCTTTGTATGTGTAGCTTTTCTTCTCTGCTGTAGATTCTCTGTGATGGTTTTTTTTTTTTTTGGCATTTGATTTTTTTTCTAATTTATATATATTTTACATCATTGTTCATTTTTGTACAGTGTTTGCTTTTTCCTCCTAAGTGTAGTCTCCATAAAATTCCCACCACCAGTTCACCCATGCACCACCATCTTAGTTCCTTGTGCTCTTCTGTACCCTGTTTTGATTCCTCTACTTTCCCCTCTCTTGCAGAATGTTTCTGTTTTATAGTTGTCTGAAAATTTTTTTAATATTAATTTTTTACATCATTGTTCATTTTTAAACAATATTGCTTTCCCCCACCCTTTCAATTGTAATCCCCATAGAGTTTCCTTCACCTATGCACCATGTACCATGTGATGGTTAATTTTATATATCATCTTCCCTGGCCCACAGAATGTCCAGATACTAGTTTAACATTATGTCTGGATGTCTTTGAGGATGTTTTCAGAGGTTGTTGGTATTGATTTGGTAGAATAAGTAAAGCCAATGGTATTTGTTTTAAATTCATCTATATTTTGTATCTTTCACCAAATTTCTTATTATGAGACTTCCCTCAGATATTATTTCATACTCTATTTCAGGAGCTATCCTAGTAATAAAAACAAGAATAATCACTTTTGTGTCAGGAGAGATTGTCATGAGAGAAACTTGAAAGATAAGGTGGCATGAGCAGCCATCCCAGACCCAGTAAACAACTGGGTTACTACAAATATGAAAGAGTCATGCCCTCTTACTGAATTTTATCTATTGGTGTATCAGATTATTTTAATTTCATGAGTATTTATTAATAACAGGAGTGTAACCATTCTACTACCTGTTACAAAATGTATAAAGATTTCTAAATTATAATTAAAAGGGTTTGTAGGCCAAAAATAAGAAGAGTAAATAACCTCTTCCAAGCTGAAATGGATTTCATATCTCTTTAAAAGATCTATAAAGGCATCATGGAAGTAGTAACACTTGGAACAGACCTGGAGGAAATAAACCATTTTAATTTTAAATGATAGTGGGGCAGTAGAGTAGGGATGAGTCTCTGTAGGGAGACCTACTTGAACTCCAGGATGAACTTGGAAAGAACGAGGTTTGTCTACAAAGTGTTCAATAACTCTTTTGTGGTTTAACCCAGAGTCCAATAGAATTTTGTGAAGAATGAAACTTTTTAGATAAAGCCATATTTTATTTGAAGGCACCTCAGCTAGTGGAGTGACAAATGCAGGGTGAAGTATACATACCTGTATATATGCATGGGTATATACATACATGCATAGGTATATGGATTTTGACATGCAAATAAAGAAATAATACCAAGCCAATGTGGATATACTATTCAAGATATTTACTTTATTCATGTATAACCTGGAGCAGTGACCATTCAAAATAATTGAGAGCAATATGATTTCATCAGAGTTATATTTGCAAAGAATAATCAGGCAGCTATGTTCAGAAAGAAAGTGAACATCAGTGAGCTCAAAGGGATGAGTAAGTAAAACTTCTCAGAACACAGAGGCAAGTATTTGAGGATAAGGGTATCAATGGTTTTAGTAAGAATGTGTGTGCAATTTGAATGTTGAGAGACAAATGATAGAGATGGGCCTAAAAATAGGACCCTTATTATATTTTAATAGTATGGAATGTGAGGAAAACTACCCACCAATGACTTTTAAGCACAAAACAATTAGATTCTTGCTCATTTTAATGCCTTTCCAGACAGCACCTGAACAGCATGCCTGCATACCATCTTAATATTATTTGAAGTTTGTTAAGAGGCATCTAAAGCCCCTCAAGGGGCTTCCAGTAACCTTTACATACCAAAGATTTATATCTACTGCATCTTTGTTTTCATTCTGAAGATTGAGACCATTTCCTTCCTAGTCTACTCATCTCACTTCTCCTCTAAGCCATCCTCAGTTAATCCTTCAATGTAATCACTTAGGTTTCTGACTTAATAAATCTCCTCAGATGACCCAATAACAGAATACACAGAGCCAGAAAGTTCCTGAGAAGGTAACAAAGACAGTCAGGCCCCCCTCCCTATATCCTGCTATTTATGGATGTAGTCTGAGGAGGGGCACCCTGTTGAGTCTGCCCTGCCTTCACTCTCTGCATGTTTTCTGCATTATGTCCCTGTTTTGTAACACAAGTTTTGATTTCAACACAGAGGTAAAATTCACCAGGTCTCCATAAAATGGAATAAAAGACATTTTGAAGCTAACAGTTTTCCTGCGATTTGGCCCAAGTTACTCAAGCACAAACCTGCCAACACTGCATTTCAATATGATACGAGTCTCCAAGCTGCTCACTTATATTACCAATGACATCATAATCAAGTGCTTCAGAGGCATAGGCTATTTTATCACTTAATTAGTGTATTTATAATGTTAAAACACACAAGCATATAACATCTTCCATTTTTCTTTCTTTAGTTATTTTAGTATATTATGAGCACTTGATTAAAATTCCTTGTTTGTTTTTGAATAACCTACACAAAGCTTTAAGGAGTTTATTAGATATTCACACATTAAGTCATTAAGGTAATATTAAAATTATTATTGCAATAAGCTTTGAACTGTAATCAGCAAATAACAAGCAATACCTAATATGCACAATTTTGTGACTGCTTTACTGGAGAACAGCTATTAGTATGAGGTCTAAACATTTCTCTTTATCAATTTTGTCAGTGAATCTATGACTTTCTTATTTCTCAGGCTATAGATAATTGGATTTAAGAAAGGAATTATGATAGTGTAAAATAGTGAGTCCATCATATCTTGATCATCTGACTGTACAGATCCAGGGCGCACATACATGAAGAGAAGAGGGCCATAGTATAAAGACACAGATAAAAGGTGGGCTCCACAGGTGGAGAAGGCCTTCTTTATGCCTTCTAGAGACTTCTTTTTTAAGATTGTGAAGAGAACCAGTGTATAAGAGACAAGAACAATTGTAATGGTGAATACCTGAATTGATCCAGAGAAAATATAAACTATTAGGATGTTAAGAGAAGGGTCAGTACAGGAAATCTTAAACAGAGGTTCAATATCACAGTAAAAGTGATGTATTATGTTGTAATTGCAAAAGGTTAATCTAAGTAAAAAACCTGTATGTATAAAAGCATGAATGATGCCACCTACAAATGAGGAGATTAGTAGCTGGGTGTATAGTCTGTTGGTCATAATCACTGGATAACGTAAAGGGTTGCATATGGCTACATAGCGATCATATGCCATAGCCGCCAAGAGAAAACATTCTGTGGTAACTCCAATAGCAAAGGAAAAAAATTGTATCATGCATTCAGAAAAAGATATGTTCTTACTTTTGGTGAAAAACTGTAGCAGCATCTTGGGTGTCACTGTGGATGATATTGAAGCATCCACAAAAGCTAAACTCCCAAGGAAAAAGTACATGGGGATGTGAAGTTGAGAGTCATTCCAGATGAGAGCAATAAGACCAAGGTTCCCCACGATGGTGATGAGGTATATCACCAAGAACGTCAGGAACAGGGGGATTTCCCATTCCTGTTGATATGTAAGTCCTGTGAGAACAAACTCTGTCAGCAAGGATGCATTTTCCTTTTCCATGTCTCACTGGATGTTCCCTGTAATTAAATGCAATAAATATAAAAAGATCATTCACAGTTGGTTTATACATTCAAACTGGAATAGTGGATTTGAATCTAATCCTACTGCTATCATAATGCCATTTGAATTTTGTGGAATATTATAATAATGGGTTGACTAATTGCGGAAGGGTTGAATAGAGTGAAATTGTTGTGATAATTTGAAATCAACAATTTACGGTATAATCAATTTTCTTAAAGGGGGAAAATTCTAAATGAGTTAAAATTTGTGTAGAGAAATTCTGTGTAGGACATTGATTCTGAGTCACAAGAATGGATATTAAAGGATCTGGATATATTGATTCTGAGTCACAAGAATGGATATTAAATGATCTGGATAATAAAATATATGAATGGATCTGAAGCATCTGGAAGTTTTTCCTCAGGTAATAGGTATATAAATTTTTGGAAGTTTACTGAAATTATATTTTGGTAGTGCAGAAACTAGGTAAATGGAGAGGAGACTGCAGAAAGGAGTATTATTTAGGAAGTGTAATTATTGTCCAATGTTGCCAACCCATAATATATATCAAATTGTCTCTGGAGCTTTTTTTCTTTTAAATATACTTTTTCAAAATATAGACTGTGCAGTATTACTGTAGAAATTAATTTTTGCATCAGAATGGGTTCTAGGAATCTAAGTTTTAACAAAATGCTTCCCATGTTTCTCAAATGCATGTGAATTGCCTAGTCTATTGGGCTATGACATGGTAGTAATAAGGATAAACAGATAGATGTAGAAGAATTTTAACTTGTAGAATAATTCTGTCTCGTGACATATTTTGTGGAGGGCATATTTGTGAAGGAGAGAGGTGTCACTTCATGACTAGATAAATGCTTATCCAACAAATTGACTCTTAGTGAAGTCAATTTGTGGAGAGAATGTCCTTTGTACTATGCAAGATGAGATTATAAGTATGAATCTACTAGATCTAATAGAAATAACATCTAAATAGTTGGGGGAAATTCTTTTTTAAAAGATTTATTTATTTTTGCATACAAGAACTAGGGTGTAGGCCAGAGGTGTGGGTGTGTGAGAGGATTTACCAGAGAGAGTGGGGAGCAGAACAGGCAGATATACTGAGATACACTGCTGAGGGGAGCAGCAGGCAAAGCAGGAGAGGTCTGCTGCGCCATGTGTGTTGCTCCCTTGCTGGCCAGGGATCAAACTTGTGCTACAGTGGCTGGCAATAACTTGACAGTGCTGTCTTTAACCCATGTGCCACCAGGGAGGCCCAGTTGTGGGAAATTGAAGGCAAACTACCCACTGGAAATTGTGTGGAAAGTAAAGAGAGGGAGGGCATGAAGATATACTTGTGAAAGTTATATTAAAGAGATTACAAAGTGGATGCACAGCCTGTATTAGATGGCCAACATCTGAGGATATCTTTTCTACCACCATAGTCTTTATGGCCTGTAGATGTAACCACCCAGTCAAGAAGCTCAAAGAGCTAGAAAATCACTTTCTTATCCTCCTGTGATCCTAGAGTGAGAGGGCTTGCCTGGATTTGGCAAATAAAATGCACCTTACCTACATCTGGAGTATGAGAAGAGGAAGAAAAGGTACAGGGACAAAAGAGAATATTAGTTTCAAAGGCAGCGATATTAAGGACAGCAAACGTGTCTTGCATTTGTGTGCATGTATCCAGCAATGTGTCCTGACAACAGTGTTATTGTCAGTGTGAGCCAGATGGAGTCCAAATTCACCAGCTTTCATGGAGCTGGTGTGGAGACTTGATGTTGGCTGTTGATTGGATGCTCTATTTTCTTCTGTTACTGTTCATTATTTTTCTTGAGCTGATTCCTGCACTATTTTTATTTTATGTTCAAAACAGTTTCATTTCAATTAATCCGTATCTTTTCTCAAACAAGAAGTCCAGATTACACCAAAGAAAAACTAGGGAGTAAACGAGAAAGGACTCAACAGTGATCAAGAAGTAGGTGTGTGGGCCTCCCTGGTCACGCAGCGGGTTGAGTGCCTCACTGTGAGGCTGTCCACAGCCTCTACAGTACGGGTGAGATTCCCAGCTGGCCAGGGAGAAACCCAATTGGTGTGGCAGATCTCTCCTGTCTCACCTGCTGCTCCCCTCAGCAGTGTCTTCGGTCCATCTGCCTGTTCTGCTCCCTACTCTGTGTCTGGTGAATTCTCTCACCCTCCCACACCTCTGACTGTACCCCAATTCTTGCATAAATAAATAAATCTTTAAAAAAAGAAAAGAAAGAAAAGAAAAAAGAAGTAGGTGTGAACCTGGAGAACTGTGTAGCATGAATTGAAAGTCAGGGAAAGCACACAGGCTGATATTCAAAATATATGTCAGATGCCAAAATAAATGCTATTGTAGGACAAACAGTGATAATTTTTCATTTGTGTGGAGATTTTTAGTGACTGTAGTGAGGGCAGTTTCCATTATGTAATAGAAGCTGAAAATGAGGCCCCCAAATAATGAGCAGTACACAGGAAACAAATAAGTAGAGAGCAGAGGGTATTTCCAGAAATGTGGAGATCATTTAGCCTTTAAAAAAAATTCTTAGACATGTGTAGGTTTTTCTCCCCTTTAGAACAGTTTACTAAAAGTTTCCAAGACAGAGGAGAATATAAGAAGGATTTGAGAGGTGAGAGTTTACAGAAATGGGAAGGAAATGTGTGTTGTTGAAAGGAAAACAGCTGGAGTGTGGGTAACAGAAGGCATATAACAGATACATAGACTGGTAAGTGTAGGAAAGACAAGCTGCAGGAGACAAAGACAGCAAGCATTCAACAAAGGCTGAAGAGGAAATCAAGGAACAGCTCACAGCCTTGGCAGTACAGATATGTTTTAAGTCTGGTGTTTGTTAAAAGCTGACGGTCCCGAGACTTTGTTTGTTTATTTTAAAATTCAGTTTATTTTCCTATGAAATTTTTCTCTGAAAGTGAGTCTTCAATTTTAATTTTTATTTTACAAATTATGTCTTCATCATAAATATATTGGTACTGCCTAAAGTTCTTTTCATTTTTAAAAGTCACTTTCTCTATGTTACTAAAGAATTGACTTTCTCTAGAAATCCTGCTGGTTTTACTTGAGAGGACTTTCTGCACCTTTATACTGTTGATAGGGTTTTTGTTTGATTTTTTAGCAAAATGAAATTGAGCCAGTGACTTAACCCTGAATACAGGCAATATAAATAATGAAAGTCAGTAATAACAGTTAACTATTTTTATATGGAATGACCTTCTCTCTCTGCAATCCCAATCACTACATAATTGAAAATACTTAATTCAGCATGTGTGTTTGTTCTTTTAATTCATAAAAGCTGGAAATCGTAATGAAGGCACATTTTCTATATATTCCTTTAAATATGTTTATATATAGTTATACATATAAGCTAGGTATATATATTAATAAAACATATACACAACTATAGATAAAATACTTAGTAATATATATCTCCATCTAGGTAATGCAAGTACTTTTTATAAAATGCTTGATAAAATAATTATCATAAGTCTGTGAAGAAATAGGAGAATTAATATTTCATTGATTTACTTTAAAAGTCTGAATCAAAGGCTAATTAAAAAAATGTTTTTTTTAATCAGAATCATCAGAATGATTCTTACATAACAATACTGTTACCTGAAACTTTCAGCACCCTTTTAGATTAATTAACTTTCTACTTCATCAAAATTTATCTTATAAAATCATTATAGTTAGATTAATAGAATAATCAAATATCATTTTAAGGGAAGGAACAATTCAGCCTTACAGGTATTTTGCATATCTAGAGTCTACTCATGAAAATAAAATATACAATTAATTCACTATTTTTTCTGTTTCCACATGAAAAATTAGACAAATTATAAACCTAATCTAAAATGCTTATAATTTTAAAGTATTCAAATTTTTCTATGTAAAGAATAATGAATACTGTATAAATCATTGCTCTCTTACCCATATCTTAAGAGAAATGGTAGCTATTCTTTCAATATTTTAGTCTTAAGTGGTAAAAATGCAGTCGCACTGGAATGACAAGAGCATAGGTAATTCTTTGAGTACTGATTCACGGAGGCTTCATTTCCCAAGATCAGGAAAATGTTGCTTATATGAGTAAATGCTTATATTTGAGTAAAGCATTAACCAATTGCAGAAATGTGTGCTTTTGCCAAAACAGGAAGGAGTGAAAAACTAACATTCCCCTGATAGCACCCAAGTACTCCCTTTAGGATAAAGCTAAACTTTTCTACTGGTCATTGTATGAGAAATTCAGGTTGTCCCCTAGGGCAATATAGTAAATGAAATCATATACATCAAGTCATTATATACAGTTCTAGTTTTAACAATTGAAACTGCACTTGAAGTTACTTTTTACTAGTAGAGATGACACTTCTGACATATTTACAGACAACTTCAGTTATGTATATTATTTTGAGTAGCGAAATTAGCATGGTCTTGTCTGAGCTGACCATACATTATTTTAATGACATCCAAGTTCTAGACTTCCTTAGAGCCAAGCCTGATAAAGTTATCCTCCTCATGCAAGCTGAAGACCTATACTAACTTGCCCCTTTAAACTGAAATATGTTGAGAAATCTTGCTAGACAAATGTCATGGACAGAAACAAAGGGAAAACAAAACAAAGCACTACAGTGGGTGGTGGCCTAGATCAGTACTTTCCAAACTTTTTGCCTATGAATCTCTTGCAGATTTTGTTTCTGTAGGTCTAGGTTAGGACCAGCATCTTCATATCTAGGCATGTGATGCCCTGTGGACCCTTAACCATCTTCACAGCCTTCTATCTTTGGATGCTGTAGGTTATCAGAGAGCCTAGATCATTGGAGAAATCCAGTATAGTAAATGTAGCTGATACTTAGAGTAGGGAGGATATGGATGAAGTCGGGGAGGCCAGCATGGGTGGGATTACACGGGGCACTGGAAGCTAGATCAAGGAATTTGTTCTTTGCCTCCACTTGAAAGAAAACTACTGAGC